TGAGAAGTCTCAGAGCCACCTCAGCACACACAACAGGCGGCAGCAGATCCCCTCCCCTCCTGCTTCTCCTGACTCCTGCCTGCAAATGTCAGCTGGTACAGCAGGGAAGCGTTCAGGCAGAGAATTTTGTTTCCTTTAATGCAATGGGACACCCACAGAGTACTCTACACGAGCCCAGGCTTCTTTAGACAAAGAAGAAAACCCATTACACCACAAGGAAAAAGTGAATAAATCCATTTCAGGGAGGGGGAACAAACAGGAAGGTGTCAGCCCAGCAGCTGGACAGGCACAAGGGCTCCCAGCTCCATACAAATTCCAGTCTCATACTGCAATAGCAGCTTCCACCATCTCCCAGTGCTTGCTCAAAATTACCATCTCTGGGTGCACAGCACACAGTTTTCCAGGAAGGAAATCAAATGGCAGGCACAGCCAGTGCCCAAACACCTCACCTAAAGCTTTAAGGCATTTATAAATATTCATTCTTTTTTCCTCTCTCAAATGCAGGGACTACTCATGCCAAGGGCTATAAGCCCACTGCTACAGCCATAATACTTAAGGAAAATTTAAAGTGCAAAGAAAATTTTCAAATGCTTTTTAGTGAAAGCTTGAAGTCATCAGATAACACCAACCCCTGCCTTTCTTGAGGTTTTGTTCCATGACTGCCATTTTTTAAAAATAAAAATCCAAACAATCAATTAAAGAAAAGTTAGTTTAAAACAGGAAAACATCCCAAAACAGGCAGAAATTATTCTGGCCCAGTATTATAATAAACTCATTTGGGAAGACAAATATGAAGGTTGTGAACATTTTGCTCACCATTATCAGCAGCCAAGAGCTGTGTTTAAATATAAATTACTTCTACCCTTGTAAGCAACTCCCCATTTTCCTGACATAGGAACTACCTCATTCTCACAGATCTCTTCTCAAAATGTCACCATTCTGTTCAAACGTGCTGGAAGGATGAGGGTGGTGATGTCAATGCTGTACCTTTACAGCTACAACAATGTGCCAGGGAGACAAAAGTGCTCCAGGCAATCAAGTGCACACAGTCCCCACTTCTCCTCTGTGGAACCATTTCCTTCATCCCAATGAGAGGGGCAAATGTGTGCTGGGAAACAAGTGCTAATGCTATCCCAACTCTGCCTAGAGCCAGGGCTCTCCCTTATCCAGCATCAAGGCTGCAGAGGAAGCTGCTCCCTGAGCTGGGAATGGAAGCTGATCATCTCTACAAGGCTGGGCTTAAGGAGTCGAATAACGAGCAAAGGATCAAACCTTCACTGCACCTCTCCTTCCACCTCAGCTCAGCCACTCCATCATCCCTCCACCAGTTTTTATTTTGCTGTGCCTCACTCTCTGATGGCAAAAGGAACTAATGCACTCAGCCACCTGAGGAAGGAGACTAAAGAAGTGTTAAGGACAGTGGGAAAATCCTGGCACAGGGAAAGGGAGGGTTAAATGATGGGATTTACAGCAGCCACAAACCTGCCTGGAGTTCTGATGTTGGTATCAGCACCATCCAAAAGTTGAATAAGTTAAGTTGATGCAGAGACACAGATCTAGAGCCAACCTGGCTCCAATGACAAAGCATCAGGTAGAAAGAAGAGAAGAACCTTGTGCATGAGAAATTGTACAGCAGCAGAGTTTGAAGGTGTTATAGGAAGAGCAACATGATTGTTGGCAACTCAAATGCAACAGTAGAAAGGAGGAATGCAAGCTTACACCAAGATGTGGAGATGCAGTGGAAGTTTTACACAACCTCCCTTCTTTGCCACAAAATAAGAAACTGTCCAGCAAGGCCTATCAAATCTAGATACTGGAGAAAACAAACAGAAATGAAACCTGGCAAAGACAGATGTGAAAATGACTATAACACATCCTCCTGAAACAGAAAACATAATTCTAGAAATAGACTATTAATTTTATCCTCAGATTGTTAAATATGAACAATATACTCCTGCTTTTCTAGTACCAGTTGTACTCAAGCCTTGCATTACTCACTCAAGGACTACCAAAACAGGATAACTTAAGAAGGGACACAGCAAGGTTAAGATAATATCTCTGTAAAAATCATTTAATGGAAGGAAGCACTATGCCTTATATAAGTTCCCCTGACAGCACTTGGGCAAGCCAGCCCTTCCCATGGATGCACACTGAGATGGATTCACTGGCTAACTTCCCTGCAAAGATGCTTGTATGAAAGGAATCTACAGGGCTGTCCCATCCTGGACAGCAAGACTCAGAGAACTGGTAACAACCCTGTGACTGACACACACGAGCTGCAGAGAGCAGACCTGCAGCTGCTGCTTCAGCACAGAATGAGGCCATTTCCCCTTCTACTGCCACAGAGAGAGATGCTATTTTTGTGTTTCCCAATCCAAGGTTCATAGTCTTACTGTGCAGAATGAGAACAAACAACCTTTTTTAGCAAAAAGCATTTTAAGGCAGTTTTAATGACGAGAATCAGGATGTAGAATTTTACAGTCCCTGTTATTTACCATCTTACACATAAAGACTACAGCAGCTTCGAAGAGAAAATTTTTAATTTTCTAATTTGAAGCTGTACTAAAGGTAGTAACTCCTCAACAGATTTAGTTGTTCTTTTTTTAGTTCTTTCTACTTTAATCATCAGATAAAGGGATTAGAGTCTTACATCACTGCTTAATACCTCAAGATGAAAACACTACGCTAGAAGGATCTTCCTCCAACTCGGTATCACTATTTTAAAACGTGATCCAATTGTTCTCTTGAGGGTGTTCAAGTTGGTAAAAGCAAACTATTCTTTACATTGTAAGTTTAAAAATAGGTACACCAGAAATTAAATCAACTAAGCCTGAACAGCAGTTAAAGACCTCTCAGGTTCTGATCTAAAACAAGAAGAGAATTCATAGCAGGGAAGGTGGGAGTAGGCGTTAATGAGCTGTAAGACTGACAATTACCAAACCAGCCAAGTCTCAAACAGCAAACACAGCCTTGCACAAGGTGTTGCTATATCTACCATCATGGTGGAAAACTATTTCCACTCTCTATTTTTGGTATGGAAAAGTCAATAGATCTAGACATAAAATAAACCTTTCAGACATAAAATAAACCTTAGCAGACATAATGACAAAAGTAGCTAATAAAACACAATTTTACTGTCAGAACTGCTGAAGAAGAGACATCCCTGTATGAAAAGTTGCCTGAGGAACTAACAGGCACCATAAAATTAGGGAAAAGGAAAAATAATCACAGGAAGAATATAATGCAGCTGGACTGAGTGGCTGGTAAAGGACAGCATGCTTCTAGCTTTCCAGTTTGGTCTTAACTAATTCTAACTCTGCAGAGAACTGAACAGCTTGAGGTAAAATCTCTCTTCAGCAGTTTCGATACAAACTTCAGCACACCTTGGCCCTATACCTTGCCTTCTCCTGGAGTATCATGCCTTACTCAGCCACAACAGATGGTCAATAAACCCTAAGCAGAAGGGCTGCTCTAAGAAGCTCTAAGAACCCTAAGCAGAAGGGCTACTCCACATCCTAAATATCACATACAAAACTCTTTCTTTGGTTGAATGCCTGTTTCCATGGATAAGGAAGGCAAAGCAGTGTCCCATAAAACCAACTGAGAAGGACCAAGGTCCTCCCTGGTACACACGTCCAGCATGGGAACAATGGGATCATGGTATCTCTCTAAGCAGAAAAGATATGCAAGAAGTAATTATAGAGTTTAAACTGCCATTAGATGCTTTATGAACCTTTCATTTAAGTGATTAATTCTAACATACCAGGCAAAATTTCAGTTCAGGGAGCAATAACAGGGGAATTTGGCAGGAATGACAAGCAGGCGGAATCTCGCCTACAGCAGCTGCAGAGAGTACTCTGCACTCTGAGATCTCAAAAAGCTGCCCCAGTGTGGTTACTCCTTTTCAGAAACTGGAAAATTCTGCATGCCAATTCAGAATTAGGTTTGAAATCCTGGAAGAAGCCACACATTTCAGTGGAACTCACCAGACAAAGGAACGCATGCTCAGAGAAGTGATATCCACATTCAACCTACTATACCATATGCTCAAATCCTAAATTCCCTTACAGTTTCCTGAACTGGCAGCCACAGACCCAACTGAAGGCACAGCTTAAAGCAACTGAAGCAGCAGAACACAAAACATGAACCAGGGGAGCTTTTGAGCTCATATTTACATTACTCATATTCACCATTTAACTGGAAAATAAAGTGTCCAAAAGTGGTTCTAGACCACAGAGGAAGTGTTCACCACAGCTAAAAGGGCAGACAACAGTGCAAGGTTGTGTTTGAAGTCCAAAACAAATGCTGAAGCAGAAAGACCATGAGAAGTATGTGGTATTAGAGGCAGGGAAAACATTTAACAGATCTTTTTCAAGTAAATGAAAAGCATCTTTGTTTTTGATTGTGCTCAAAATATGAAGAAGAAGATGATGCAAATGTGCACAAGGCAGTTGTGCTCAAAATATGAAGAAGATGATGCAAAAGTGTACAAGGCAATTCAGCATTCCCCCATTTCTTTACCATTTACCATCAGTGATTGAACTGGCACATTCTGACACCTGAAGAAGGGGTGAATTTCCAGCTGCACCATCTGGAGTATCTGTATGAGAAGCCAGATGCAAAGAGCAGTGCTGAAGAAAAGCACTTTATAATCCCACTACCATGCTTCCTTCACTCCCTTATTCAATCCCTTCAGTTGAGGTACTACTGAGAGACAAAGAAGTGCAACAGATTTGAGGAGGAAAACAGAAGACAAATTCTTGTGTCCAGCAGGAACTGCTGAGACATTTTCTCACCACCAACAGAAAACCCAGTGTTTCTCACACCACAGGTGAGACAGATGCTGTGTCTTTTCCTACAATTTCAAAATAACCACAGTCAGCTAAAACTACAAGATAATATCCCCTCCTGCTGCTCAAGTTCCCCAAAACAACACAAGTTCTCCATGAACCTTGCCAGATGAGTTTGACCAAGTCACATAAACAAAGTGAAAGACAATCCCCAAAGAGACTGTATATTGTGCAGCTTAAACAGAAGCAGCCTTTCAACACTGCTATTTAACATTAAACACTAACATTTATCCTTGTTAGAAATCAGTATTCTTGCTAATAAAAAAGAAAAAACAACATTCCTTTATAGAAGTGAAATGCACATGTTGATCTTTGACTATATTTATAGAAGGCCATTTACTTTCAGTGACCCCACACAAAAAATTCAATCCCACCAACAATGCACTTACCAACGCTACTGTCATCTCAATACTCTGATGTTAAATCTACTCCCTGCTAGGGAAAAACCAAAATGGTGGACAAAGGAGGGCAGTGACAGGCCGGACAACACCAAAACCTGTCTCTAGGCTGTGCTCACACAATGCTTTGTCTCATGCCAGTGAGGTAGCTGATCGTTCTACTGCCGTGTGCATTGACACACCAACCCCTCTAACACACGGGATGTGGAGAGCAGGCTGAGGGCAGCCGTCACCTGAACCACAGGCAGCAAAGATCTGCTGTCCCATGCCTTATGCTGGAGAGGAGAGGAAGGGTGCAGTCTTCAGGGATTCACCCCAACCCTTCCCATCACTAGAAGGCCAGGGCCTTTGGTGGGGTTCAGTCTACACAGGCATCCCTGCATGTTCAGCACTGTGCTTCATCCACTGGGACACGGGGGAGCCTGGTAAGGGTTGAAGGAGGGAGACAGACAGGGTTGGGAAAGCTTGAAAATTAAAGTTTTAAAATATACAAAATGTAACACACTGGAAAAAGTTTAAAAGTTGCAAGACAAGAAAGGAAAATAAAGAAATATATGAGGTGAAGAGAAAGGGCTGGAAGATGGTGGGAAAAGACTCCAGCTTGGGACAAGGGGCAGGTCTAGGCTACTCAGCACTACTCCCTCTGGTAGCCACTCAGTTCCACCTCATCCTTGCGGCGCCGCTGTGCGAAGAGGGAGCTGAAGGGATAGAGCTTGGCTTTGGCCTGGAAGCGCTGCCCGGCAATGTCGATCTCGTACTCTCCCTGGTTGATGAAGTCAGTCGTCACCACCAGCTCCTCTCCCGTCTTCTCGTCGAAGTGGCGCACGAAGCCGAGGCAGACGTGGCGCTCCAGGGTGTAGCTGTAGGCGCTGCTGGTGGTCTTGCCCACGTAGCGGCCGTTGCGGAAAATGGGCTCCCCCCACCAGGGCCAGAGGTCCATATCCGTGTCGTGGTCCTCGAGAATGAACATGGTAAAGCGCTTGTACACCCCGTTCTGCTTCTGTTCCAACAGCGCTTCCTGGCCAAGAAAATCCATTCCCTGTGGGGAAAAGGGAGCATCAGCTGATGTGAGGGACATGAAGTGTGGCAGCTGCTGAGCTGCAGCAGAACAGGCTGCCAACAAGGGCAACTTATGCACTATCAAAATGGGCTGCATCCGTACACAAGAAGCCTGTCTCAGATAGCTTTTCTGTCATGTTTGCTGCTCCAGATGTTAAAACACACAGAAATGTTTGTGAAGGTGGTCTTTAGAAAAAATCATTCTAATTTTCACTCTAGCGAAAACCATGTTCCAGTTTTTGCCATTTTTCTTGTTCCAAAAGTCTACCCCTTCTTTATAAACCAGAGGGAAACTGTAAGTAATACGAAATTTGTATCCTTAGCCACTACATTCTTTTCTTGAATCAATACAAGCATTCGTTTTGGCTCATGCAAAGATGCAAGAAAGAAAACAAGACAGTGATAGCAGTAGCACCTGCTACCACAAAAGTGTGATATAACTCTAGACTGTTCTACAAACTCCCCTGTTTTATCAAAAATAGAGAACACCTGTTACTGGTGCCTAGCCTCGTATTTAACATCATTAAATGACACCGGGTGCACAGGCCGGCTTTTGCTTCACCAGATTGGGAAAACAGTTTAGAGTAGCAAGAATTCTGAGCATCTGTAAGGTACAGAGCACCTCTGCCACACTGGGCACTGCACACATAAGCAGCATCAGACACAGGTCACTGGGAATGCTGCCCAGGAAGGAGGAAAACTGAGAATTTTTGTATTTCTAGCAGCTTTCTGAAGCACAAGAATGTATGTTACAGCTACTGCACACAGCTCCATAAAAACACATCCATCTGCTTGGCTGGCAGCCTTTCAGTCCAGTTCTGCTCTCCCACCAGCCCCCATGCAGAAGGTGGTGTACCTTATCCAGCTTGACCTGGAACTCGCGTCCACACTCCATAGGAGTAGTAAAAGCATCCAGATCCTGGCCCCAGAAGGCAAAGAACTTCTCGATGCGCAGGCTGCGGAGCGCGTAATAACCGGCATTGCGAATGCCGTACTTCTGTCCCATGTTCATCACCTCGTTGTACACGTGGAGGGCGTACTGCAATGGAAGGGTGAAACACACACTGGTACCAGGAGAGAGCAGCAGTATCTGGCACCATCAGGAATGGCACTGTCCCCTGCCACTGAAGCACAAGAGCTCTGCTTCACTGGAATGCAATATTAAGCAGAAAAACTCCCCCTGGTGCCTGCAGGCAGCTTTCCTGTGGCACAAATCAGACATCTCATCACCTGGAGTCAACTTGGAAAATGTTTCCGATTTATGCATGCAAGCAACTGCTTTAATTAGCTCAGGCTGCAGTGCACCCTTACCTCTATGGGGATATAAAGCACGAAGCCAGGTTCTCCTGTGTGAGTGATACTCATCACACGGATGCCATTAGCATAGCCCACGCTCATCTCCTGCAGAATCAGAGGGGGTGAAATCATCCAAACTGGAACACAGCACAGAGATCCAGAAGGAGCACAATGCATAACACATCCACACTGCCCAGCCCTCTCTCCCCTTTGTCACCTGCACACACTTGCAACAAATTTAAATTTCCAAATTCAAATAGTGATGTCACATTATCCAAACTTGTTAGTCATTTCCTGACAATTGGCAATAAGCCCTGGAACTAGGTCAGGACACAGGTTGTATTCTAGATACAAGACAGAAGTTGAATAGCAACTATCTGCTCAGCCTTTTAACAGGCTGACAGGAGAAAATGATGTCAGAGTCCCCAATCCCAGCTGTCCCTCTGACAGCTTCATAATTGATAATATGAAACATGTCAAGATATCAAATGGTGACAAGTCTACAGTGAGAGGAATACTGAAAACAAATGCATATTCACCTACATATTTAGCAAACACAAGCCAAAGACAAGTGAGCCTAGAGAGTTCTTTACCAACCTAGCTCAGTAACTGCAGTAAACCTTCCTGTAAATCTTAATTCTCCTCCAATTATCCAAAACATTTTTCCTTCCACCCATGCTTTGAAAAACCTAGCAGAATGAGAACACAAGCACAGTCACTCACCTTGCAAAAGAGAGATGGGAAGTGTTCTGCAGTCATTGGGGCATAGGACAACTCTGACAAGACATCCACAGCACGGGGGCCAATCAGATTGAGAGCTAAAGAGGGGAATAAAACAGCATTAGGATGAAACTGGAGAAGTCTTGCCCGGTGTCTAATGTACTGCTCCAATTCTGAAGTATTATTGAACTAATAGATGTGTTTACATTTAAGAACAGAGGAGAGAGTCATTAAACTCCCTTCTGACAGTCCACAGTAAAAGAATGCTGTCTTCTAGCTCATGACTTGCCAGAAAAGAGTCTCTGAACTGCTGTTTTCATCCAAATGTTTGGAAAGGAGACTAAATCACAACTCCAGGCACTTTAAACAATTAACAGCCATGCAGCAGGAGACACCATTTGTGATTTTGAGCTGAGGAGGTCTGCTTTTAGTGATTTCTTACCTGTGTACTTCCAGGTCACATCCTCTAGGACCAGGTTGCTGTCATCAGGCAGGTGGTTCTTCAGCCAGGCCCAGCAATGAACTTGCTGGTCAGTAGGGGAAATCATGAAGAAGCTGGAACAGACAAATCAAACCAAAAAAACAATGAAAGAACAACCACAAAGTGAATCAGTTCATTCTTCATTCATCAACTACTCAGCCATTCAGCAGTTTCCAAGCTAACAGGAGACCAAAACAAGCTGGTTTGTGAAAACCACAGCTCAAGTCTCTGGATCAATGCCATTACATCTGTCATGAAAAGAAATCCCCCACTCCAAGCATTACCAGTGGTCTGGCAACAAGAAGTGACTAGATGTGGAACACAGGGAATTCTGCAGGAAGTTGACAGAGTATCTCAAAGGTCAAAAGTGATTTGCAGAAAGGACTTGCAGCTCTTCACCACCAGTGATTCTCTTTACTCTGACAGTCAGAGTAGAGATGGTTCACACAGTGATTTCTTGTTGTAGCAGAAGTGTTTTGACACACAATGGTGGCTATTATTAACAGTTTCCAAAAACAGAACTCCACTTGATATGGGAAAATAAGCTGCTTGTGTGTGTGTCTGATACAAACTGTGAGTTGAAGTACATCAACATCTGCAGGAATCACTAGGCAAGGAGGGAACTACTGGTTTCACAGAGAGGACAATACTTTCAAGTAATACATGAAGGCAGACAGAAGTGAAAGAGAAAGAAAAGCTATTTCTAATTGAAAGAGAAGCAACAAAATGGTTTCACACCAATACAGTGGAAACAACATAGAAAACCATCCAGAAAAATAAATCCAACACACAGCTGGGACATGGCTATGAAGTTCTTAAAAATGAGAAAGCTTTTCATTGGATGCCAAAGAGAGCCCAGACTGGTGAGTCTAAGGGTAAAATCCTGTGATCATGTCAGCTTGCATGAGACAGCACAAAAAGAATTATAAAAGACTGCAGAACTGAGTATTAGAGTACATATACTGCAATGAAAATTGAAATAATCAAAAAGCAGTATTTTCAATGCACAATTCCAGTAAGGACATTGGTCAGGAGTTAGTTTAATGGTTTAAATGGTTTAACAGTTTAAATGGTTACCTAAATTAATAAATTCCTGTGACTGCTAAACACAATTTCTATCTCAATTAAGAAATTAAACATCTAAAGGTCTAACAATTTGAGGAAATCTATGTTCATCTGTAATCCTGGAAAGAGGCTTATTTTCCCCAATGTTTTTAAGTTCAGAAGCTCCCTTTCACTTGAGTTACTGAATTAGGAATACTAGTGGAGAACTGAGACTTTTTAATTCAGGGTGGTGATGAAAGTTTATGATCTTCATGAACAAGTCCTTAAAGGCTCAAACACCTAAAGGGTGATGGCTGAAGATGCTGTCTGCACACCCACCTGCGCTTGCTGAGCCGGGCTATGCTGCAGTCATTCTCATACCCTCCTTTCTCATTAAGCATTCCTGTATGCACAACATGCCCAACTGGCACATCCAGGTCATTTGAGAAGAGATACTGCAGACTCTCCAGGGCCTGGTCTCCGGTGGACTACATGAATCAAAAGGAAGAGAAAGTCAGACAAGCTGCCTGAGCAAAACAAATCTACTGGGGCACCTTAGGATCGCATCAACATCCTGGCCTAAATTATTTCAATTTGTGATGATTGTGACACTGATGTCTCGAGCGTAACAAGATACAACAGTGCCACAGTGCCAGAGGTCAAATTCTATGTATAGACTAAGCTGATATTTCTATAAACTGGGCCCTCAACAGACACAATTCAATCTGTGCTAAATACTCTGGTACAACCTGAATTTAGCCATACAGTGTGACTTTATCTGTCCTCAAGGGGACACAGAGTTTTTTGCAAAAGCAGGCAATAATAAACTAAAGGTCATTTTTACCAGGTGGTCCCTTCCTAGGTACTTACACTTATTTCAAACTTGGTAAAAGATGACATGTCAATAACACAAACTGCTTCCTTACAGCACTTGACTTCAGAACCCACAATATCAAACCAGTCTGGTTTGTAAAAGGTTTTGCTGTGATCCAAATCCAGCAGATCTAATACAAAGAAAAATGGAAGGAAAAATCCATAAACTGGATGAATTATGACCTTACACAGAGCAATTGGGAAGCACTAGGCAGAGGAAAATACAATCTCACCACTCCCAGGCGGGACGAAATACTTGACTCTCTCAAATCCGTGCTTCTCCATCCACCTGGCTCCCTGCGCATCCAGGCGGTCGTACAGCGGTGAAGTGCGCAGCTGCCTGCCAGTCTGGAAGTCCCAGCGGGGAACTTTCAGATCATACATGAGGGCTGCAATGGTCATAAAGATCCTTTATTAGGAAAAGTGATTATCTTTATCTAAACTTTTCTTCCAGATTATCAGTACTTATGAATATCTGAACCATTAATAAAACTCCCTCAGAACAGCTCCAACCTTCCTTTTCCTGCTTTTGGAAATCCACAAATCCGTTTTGATCCATTTATAGCTCTTCAAAATCACAGTAACAATATTTGCACAAAACACTTATATTTATAGATACTTATGGCCTCATGACAATTCTGCAAGATAACAAAAACTCTATTTTTCATGAAGTCATGCTGACTAGCATTAATTATGCAGGATTCTTCCCTGGCAGTGCACTATATCAGATATTTTGGCAATGCTAATGCTAGGGTAGGGAGCTACAGGGACCATCTCATGTGCCTTAAATACTGGCAATTCAGCCTTTTGTAATCATTGAAGTTTTTCCAAATGGCTTCTCTATCTGTTCAGCTAGTATTAAATAATTTTATTTAGAAAACAAGTTAATCTAATAAACATTAAGCATCCTCCTTACTTATCAGTGGAGAGTGATAACTTAAGGATGCTTGAATACTACTTAATAAATGTTAAGATTCTACCTAGGTCAGAAACTGCCTAAAATTGAAGATAAGCCAACTAACTCCTACTGAACACTTCCATAATTTCTGCCTCATAGCTAACAATTTAATGAATTTATTGGGAATATCTCAAACTGGTATTCCTGAAAGAGAGGGTACAGGGAAGATCACATTAGAATGGGAACATAACACTTCAAAAATGGAATACATTTCTCACTCTGTAAAAACTAGAGGGATTCTGTAGCTGTCAGAACTGAGGTTTGTACTGGAGAGCAACTGCAGAATAATGCCCAGAGTATGAAGTGATTTTTTCTGGGAAGGAGGTCAAAGCAACATAAGGTTTTTATTCCCCAGATATAGCAGGGCTAAGAGGTTTACCCAGCTTCTCTGCTTTCACATGAACATATGTTTTTAGTTTAGACTTGGTATTCAAATAATTGTTCCCGTTATGCAACTTGTGGAGCACTTCGTACTTCTATTTCGAACTTGAAAAGAAGTCATCCACAATATTCAGACAACATGACACGTATTCAAACAAGAGAGGAAACAAAGCATGACTTTAGACAAGAAAAATGGCATTTCTAATCTTTTCTGCAAGGTATTTATCGCAAACTCTGACAGGAGAAAGCAGTATGACTACGAAGAGTTCCTGAATTATGCAAGATAACTGGGTCAGCCAGCCATTAGCTGGAAGTGAAGGTATTTCCACACCATAATGATGTGCAAAGAATAACAATATTTGAGACAGTGTAACATTCCCAGTTAAGACCTTGGCATTGCTTTTTTAGGCTGGAGTCCAACAGAGATACATAGAAATTTTCCTATATCAGAGGCAAAGCACAGAAATAGCAGAGAGCAAGGTACCAACAGCATTTTTTTAGAGAAGTTAATAAGAATGCTGGCACACAAAAAAATCCTCATCCTTTCCTTTCTCCTCGGAAGGGGTTGTATTGCCACGAAGGAGGTCAGGAAGAAGGAAAATGTTTCTCAGAGTGACAGCAGAGGAGAGACAGCGTAGCAAAGGGCAAAATCTTGGACAGCCGGGCCAGAGCTAAACACAGAGACCTCACTTACGCATGACTTCCATCACACGGTGACGGAGGAAAGTGCGACTGCTCTGAAGGGTTCCAAAACGTTTCAGATCCAAGGGCCAGACATTTTCCGACGGATACCCATTTACTATCCACTCTGCCAGGTACCTGATGGAAGAAATAAAGACAGACTGAGATATCAGCCAATGTCTTAAGGGGAAAGTGTAGCTTTGAAGTCAGAAGGAAAGCAGTTTGAACTTGAGAATTTCTTACAGTAGCGAGAGAGAAGACATGTAACATGGTATTCTAAACACTACCAGAATCTGGAGTTTCCCTTTATAAAATGCATTCACCAGATTTCCAAATTACTAATTAACCATTGGGATGAAGCATATAGGGCAGCAGGAAATTCAGGACATGTGCTAAATGAAGCCAGAGCCTGGATAGGTACCTGGCTGACACCGTGTCAAATGTTTGGGTTCTGATACAAAAGGAGGTGCAAATACATTTCAGATGGAGTTTAATGCTTCTGCTTTCTCATTTCTCATTTCCTGGTGTAGGCTCAGCCACAAACTACCAGTGACAGCATTCATTCAGCACGAGGTGCCAGCCAAGTTATGTTTAGCTACACTTCCAGCAGTGAAGGAAGAAGGCATTCTCCAGAGCTAATGGACACAGGCAACTCAGAATTCAGCAGAGCAGAAGGTTCTGTTCACAGCCAGTAGACAACAAAACAAAGGGATTTGGAACTGATCATGAAGTTACATTAGCAAGCTAAGCTGTTTATTTTGGGGCTGTAGCAACAAATGAACAAACAGTGCTTTTACCTTCAGAAATGACTTTGATTCTTAAGAGAACCTCACTGAAAAGATTCTCTGTATTTCATGTGACAACAAAAAAATAATTACGAGCTGTTGCTTTGGTGAGTTAAATTATTAGACAATAGACATAAACTAGTGAAGACAAATACAGATACTAACACCAACCTTTTTAAGAAGGCTGTGTGGCAGAAGTAATGCTCAGTCACCAAAACTAAATGGCAATCAGAGGGAGAAATGATAATTCAGCAACTTTGCTGCTGAGATCACACTTAAATGCCTGTCTAAGAATCTGCATTAACACAGGAACTGGATTTTACTGGGAAATTATTACACACCTAGCTTACTGTAGGGGACAGTCTGAAACTACTGTCAGCACTGGCATCACATATATGGTGTTTAATTAGCAACAGATTCACACTGCTTTCAGAGGAATTAACTGCTGTATCAACTTGAATGATCTAAACACTTCAATCAAATGATAAAGGGGATCATGAAGCACAAGAGATGAGGGAATATATGCTTTGCTAAGCTTTTACCTCTTCATGGCAGTTTAAAAAAAATCATACCAGTTATAGAATCATAGAATCACAGAATACCCTGAGTTGGAATGGACACACAAGAATCACTGAGTCCAACTCCTGGCCCTGGACAGGATAACCCCAAGAATCACACCAGGTACCTGAGATCACTGTCCAAATACTTCTTAAACTCTGGTATGCTTAATGCTGTGACCAATTCCCTGGGGAGCCTGTTCCAGTATCCAACCACACTATGGATGAAGAACCTTTTCCTAGTATCCAACCTAAACCTCCTCTAACATAGCTTTAACAAAGCTTACTTGACCCTCAGCTGCTCAGTGAGATGTGATGGCAGAGGAGAGGTGTGCAGGACAGGAGGAGAGTACAACGCAGGTTTGAAAGACACACTGGAGAACATAATCAGAAAACAGCAACTGCTCCTCTCTTTCACTCAAGTCAGAAACGAAAGAGGAGTCTTTGTCAGAGGAGATGACAAATACCAACCAGAACATTCCACACAGGAGGATCATCTGAGCAGTCTCTTGGCTAAAGCCTTACTTACACACACAATAATAGACCACTTACTTGCCTGCTCCCCCACCATACGAGATGCCAGCTGAGTTCATGCCAGCCAGGACAAAGTAGCCTCGTGCAGTGGGCGACTCTCCCATGATGCATCGCATGTCTGGGGTGAAGGACTCTGGGCAATTCACCAACTGCATGATCTGCAGAGCCTCCAAACCTGGCATCCTCCGCAGGAGGGCACTCAGAAGCGGCCCTAGGACCCAAGAGAATAAAGAGAAAAATAGTCTCAACACATTTCAGCTGCTTCAGGTGGAAAGTGCTTCCATGTTTTGATACAGTCACAGGAGAAATGGTTTACTTGCTGGAGTCACACTACTTAAAATGGATCACACAACATACAATAAAAGCAGCCATATTGATCCAGACCAAGAGCTGAGTATTATTTTCAACAGTACAAGAGCACTGTTCGGTTTTTTTTTGGGAAATAGGAACAGAAATCAAATAGATACATAGTGAGGAGTACAAAAAGGTAAATGTATAGGATGCTTGTCACATGCACTCTGCAAGCCTCCACCTATCATCAGCTCAGAGGATTTCCTAAAAATTTGGTATATTTTTCTGTATTTAGGAACCCATAAAATTGGTCTCTCTTTTAAGTACTAGACCAGTCTTTCCCAGCCTCATGAAAAAAATCCAAGAAACACAGACAAAGAGTCCTATGTGTTAAAAATCTGTCGTATGAGGAATCACCACCTTTTGTTTTAAAGCTCACAATCAATTTCTTTTTATGCCTCCCAGCATAAAAAAGATGTCTCTTAGAAGAGACAGTGGTCAGGAATCCCCCTTCCAGCCTGTCCATCTCATTCCAGATTCTACAGACCTCTGTTAACTTCCCTTCTGTCATCTCCTTTCCCCATCCCACTCAGTCACTCCATTCCTGGAAACTATTCCAAGCTTTGATAGATCTCTTGCTGTTCTTCCACCAGACCTTCTCCAGTCCTATGATACCCTCTGGAAACAGGGAGCCTAGAACAAGAACTAGCATCTGGCAAAACAAGGATTTAGTGTTGCATAATGACCTGTGTTTTCTGCTCCTTTCCCAGTAATTCCTAACTTGTCTTTTGCTTTGACTGCTTCTGCACTGATGTCTTCACAGAACTAACAGAACTAATACAAACCCCCAAGGTCTGTTCAAAGCCCATCACATCACATGGTGAAAACAAGACCATCCCCACACACACCCGTGCATTTGCGTCACTTCACATTTATCCTCATTGAATTTCCTCACGGCTTCCTTGCCCAGTCACGCTGGAAAAGTCCTTCAGCAACTCTTCACAGTTTGACATTTGAGAGTGTTAATAAATGGGTAAGGTATCTACTTGGCTTTTGCTGCCCAAAGTTACCTCTGCTTAGTACTCCAGATAAAAGCCCTCAAGATTCAGCCCTAAGAACAGTCCTGAGCTTTATGCACAAGCATAAAGTAAAATAATCAGATTTCACATTACCTAAGAAGCTACAAACAGAACTGACCCGTTCTTTCTCTTCCCTCTCTCAAGCATTAGAATTCCAGAATGAGAGCCTGGTGTTACAGGCTATTTTTCTATTGATAAAAAGAGAGATCAGTGCTAGATTTGTTCTCGTACCCAGTCCAATTTAAGCAACTCCACAGACTATTTTAAAATCAAAAGGTGTTCCAACGACAAAGATCAAAGCAGTAATACAAGAGCTCAAACCCCAGGAACTGCGGCCCTAGAAAAGGATCAAATACTGCCTGAGTTAGCTCTGACTCTGCTCAACTGTTCAGCACATTTGAACGGATAAAAGGGCAAAGCTGGAACATAGCATGCAGCTGCTTCAGAAGCTTGGGCAATCTGGGGGTGCCAGCAAGCAGTGCCTTGTCATTTTATCCAAATGAAAACCGAAAATGAAGTGGGTGCAGAGCTTGAGCAACTCATTACTGAGGCTAATATCTTCAAGCAAGTCTTTAGGCATCTAGGGATCTAAAACCCTTTAGCATATGCCAGCACAAAACAGCACCCCATCCTGGCTTCACCCCCTGGAGTTTAAACTTTTGCAGTATCAGTATGGTGTCTCTCAGAAATCAAAGTAAAATTATTCAATTTAACTTGAAGCACAGCTGGAAAAACATACTATGACTGCAGAAAGAAATCAGTGAAATTCCATCCACACCTAGGGTCACAGAGGCATGTGTATTCACAAGGGATGCAGAGAGCTCTGATAAAAGGGAAAGCTGGATTCCTGAATATAAGGCAAATTTGAGGATCAGAGGGCACATACCAACTTACTAGGTATCAAAGAGGCAGGAGTAGTTGGGGAAGAAAGGGACTCACAGACCATGCTATGCTCTTTCCTAGAGAAAGAGCCCTCCATGTAAAAATACATGTGGAATATAAAATCAGAATCAAATAAAATGAGAAGAGAAAGACAGAACAATTGGAATATAATAAACAACTGTCAATGGTGGGACAAAGTCTGGGAAGTCACAACACCAACTTCTGTCCACAAAGCAACTGCCACTGATAGAAATGCACTTGTCAGTCCCTGATGAAGAGAGCTGCAGAAACAAAATACCACAGCTATGTGGCAGGTCAACAGTGTTGATTTACTGTGTCACAAGAGGAGTAGCATGTTGACTGACAGTCAACAACTGAAATGGAAGAGCAGTGCTGGGAAGCTGATGTATTACTTTGCTGCTCTAGAACAAGGTAACACATGCTGAGGATTAGTGGGTGTTTTTAAACATTACACAGATAACACAGAATCACAGAACCTGGGAATGGTTTAGGTTGGAAGGGACTTTAAAGCTCATCTCATTCCAACCCTGGCATGGCAGGGACACCTTCTACTAGACCAGGTTGTTCCAAGTCCCATCCAACCTGACCTTAAACCCTGAGCAACTCGTGCCAGTGCCTCATCACTCTCACAGGGAAGAATTTCTTAATAATATCTAATTCTGCCCTCTGTCATTTGGAAGCCATTCCCTCTTGTTCTAGCACTCCCTGTCAGAAGTCCCTCTCCAGCTCTCCTGTAGGCTGCAGGTACTGCAGCCCTTGGTAAGAGGTTTTTCAGCAAATTACTGACAAATGAGTGAATTTGAGAGAATATTCATCTTTCCCATAGATCAATGACAGCTGGCACTGCCATGAATTCTGCCTTCTGCTGAAGGCACCTGTTTCACTGCTGTTGGAACCTTTCTTCCATAACATACCAAAATGATCCCAGTCTTCTTGAAGGTTCTGGATCTCCAGCTGGTTCCGTCCCTCCGTGAAGAGAGGTTTGGGGTTTTTCTCAAAGCCTCCTGAGAGGATGCCACCCTGCCAGTTGCGTATGTAGATCCTGCCGTCGGGGTCGACAATAGCTGCAGGGGGAAGAAAAGAGGTGAGAAGGGCACTGAGAGAAGGGATATCTGTCTCAGGCTGCTGTCCCACAAACACCAATGATGGGGGGCTAGTGACACGCCAGGCCAAGCCAGCAGCCTCCCAGCATGAGAAGGGACAGTGTCAGTTCCCCAGCCCCATGCTGTCACACCATTCTGGTTTTCATGTGAGACCCTGGTGAGCCAGTTTAGATAAACCATTAGCTCCCACCACAGCCATGCATGATGTTAACTTTTGGACAGCACAATAAACTGAATTAAACCTGAGGAGCCCCAAGCCAGCAGGACAGTGTTCCCAGGAGAGGACACAAGAGGGATTCAGAATCCTTGTGGCACTGAGAAGCTATTATACTGGCTTAGCTCCACTGAAATTGCACCCAAGACCAGATCTTCCACCAAGACACGTCCTGCCCTGCTCCTCTTTCTTTTCCTGTTCTAAGAACAGATAATTTTTAACAGATCCAGCTTACTGCAGGCCACCAGCACACAGGTGGGCAGCACTGGGGTGAGGACAAGCAGTCAGGACTGGATTGCTCCTTCCACTGGTAGTGTGTCAACTTGAAGTATTTATGCTACCTCACGTGACGTACTCCACAGCATTTTTTGCCATGTACAGAAAAGCTGAGAATACATATATGTGAATATATACATACATATATATATATATCTACACACAAAGGTTTTAATTAGTCAAATAAAAGTGAAGCACTTGGACTCCATCAGAGATCTCAATTCCCTGGACAGTGTATACATTACTCACTAGAAGCAGAAAATCTTGGTAACAACTGAGAGTAAATAAGTAAAGCTTTCTACTTCTCAACCACAGTTTTCCAATACAAAGGCTTTTTTTTAAGAGATCCAAAAGCCAGAACACGAGGAAGGAGCAATTACCTCAAGTGTTTGGTTGCCCCTACAGCTCTTAGACATGTAAATGCCATTGTAAAGCCTGAGCTTCAGTTGGAGGAAAGGAATAGATGGGCCATTTGGGGCCAGCAGCCTGCAAGGAAAACATAGTGCCAAGGCTAGCACACTCTCCAGCCCAGAAATGCAGCAATCCAAGACTCACACAAACTACTACTCGAGCTAGAGTCAAGGTCATTCCCCTGCTAAGTTGATGAACTCTCAAAACCATTTTCTGCAGGAAAAGCTTTCCCAAGAGTAAAGAAAGATACTCTTTTTACCACTGAAAAAGGATATTCAAAGCAATTCAGAGAGAAGGACTTCACAATCCCAAATGAGCTGAGGACCGACAGCCTGAGGTTGGCCTTCTTGTCACAAAATACAGGTCACCTTGAAAAGGCAGGTATAATTCACCAAGAAAAGTGAGAAGAGCTGAAGAATCCTTACTTGGTAAGCTGCTTGACAGAGGCTCCTGCAAAGGATGTGTCAGGAGGTAGAAGTGTTCACAGGCATGGACTGGGATATGGACTGGTTCCTCCCCAGAGTGGCCCAACTCATAGGCCCACTGAAATCAAGAAAGTGCAGGTCAGAATGGAAGAGGAAAAAAACAGCTTCAGGAAAAGACCAGGACATAAGCACTTCTCTGATTTTGCTTTCATAAAAGACCAAGATTTGGTTCAGACCCTGGGACATTAAACAGACATTATTTTTTCCTCTTTTCTTAGAATTTGAACTGTTTTGGATAAAGACTGTTTTTCTGTTCCTAACATGATAACCAGAAAAGTGGGGCCCCAACTCAAAACGAAGAAGTACCAGTTTACAAAACAAAAGCAAAATAAGATCTGTAGACCAAAGTCAGTATTAGGTTCAGCACCTAGAAGCAGAATAGTCAGCATTTAGGGGCCTGAACTAAGACCCTTTACTAACGTGGGGGACAGCTGCTACCTGAGAAACTGCAATTGTCAGGTGTATCTTCTAGCAGAGAAGACATGACACTAAGGAGTAAAAGCAAACAAATTTTTCGGGAGGGAAGTGAGAGAAAAGGGGCTGCCTCCCTAACAGCCAAAGTGAAGTTCTTCCTGTCAGAAGGGTGAACCTCCCAGCAGAGAGACCATGGACAGAGCTGTACCAACAAGCTGCAGGTACTGCTCAGCAGGTTAACACCCAGCCTTTGGTGCACAGCAAATGGCAAGCACTGCTTTTCCTCCTTCACTCCTCCTTATCCTGCTAGGATAAGCTGATGAGTAACATGATTTGATCTACTCCAAGCCAAAGCACAAACCACTAAAAAAGCCAAAAGGAAAACAAACAAACAAACAAAAAAAAAGAACCAGAGGGAAGTGCACATATTCTTAAGCAACAGAAAAAAGAAATAAAAATTTTAAATAATTCAACCTGGCCAGCACAGTTGACAAAGTACTCGCACTGGATCCGCCCTCTGTCAGTCTCGACTCCAGTCACTCGACCCTTCTGGATTGTGACATGACTGACACTCGTCCGCTCGTGAATCTGGACACCTGGAGTGGATCAGAAAATCAGCATGCCATGAGCTTTCTTTCTAGTGTGTCAGACTGTTAGCTTTAAACTCTTACGTTCAACCAAAATGCTTATTTTCTCTTGGAGACAAAATTTCTATTCTTGACCCCTTAAGCAAAACCCTATTATTTGTAAAACATCACATTTTTTTGTACAGGCTGACACTGTGAAGAGCTACAGTTTTTTTCCCCATGTGACAATCTGGGTGATAAATAGACCCCCAGTATCAACAACATAAAAAAAAAAAAAAAAAGAGTCTCAGCTTCTTTCCAATGGACTTCTTTCCATTACAATTCCTTTATGCAACAAATTTGTAGTTTCAGATGGCATGACTGGTTCTCTTATGGGAAATAAATAATTTTGTGGAAAAAAATCAAAGCAGTATGCAAAATCAAGCTGTAAAAGAAACTAAGAGAGGTATCTTCCTAAGCAGCTTCTTGCAATCTGATGGACTTTCATCCTCAATGACCTTATCTCCTGTTAACTTATTTAACCTTTCTCCCTACTTTTAAGCCACACATTGGTCAAACACGACTTATTAGTACACTTCCAAACCTATTTCCAAAGCATATGTGCTCAATTAAATACTCCACAAGCCACTCTTTTCCATTTGTAGGTAATTAACTATTTTGATGTGTAATTATGAGTCAATTCTAGGAAGGAAAGAGTGTGTGCTTTTTCAGAGAAACACGTAACCACTAAGGACAACAAACAGGTGTAAATATGTAACCACTACAGACAACAAACAGGTGCTTGAATTATCCCAGGAAACCTGTAAACATTCAGCACATAAAAAAATCAGCCTGCCTTTTCAGAAATAAACAGGTTTAAAGAATCTGAACTCCACAGAAATAACAGAATTTTGGTCTTCAGTGCTCCGGTAGAATATCAAAAGAGATGCAGAACACAGCTATCACACAGGAGAGCACTCTGTAGATAAAAAAGCTCCTACCATTCCGTGAGGCAGCAGTTGCCAGAGCCAGGCTCACATTGGCAGACGACACGAGTGCATCTTCTGGCACATACATGGCCCCCACAAGGTCATGGATGTTGATGAGTGGGTGGAGCTGTAGCACTTTCTTTGGGCTGATAATTTCACATGGTATTCCCATTACGCTGCCACAGAACATAAAAAACACCATGTCATTTGTCTTGCAGGAGAGCTGGTGCACACTGAGGCTGAGTTGTGTTTCCTGCTCATACGTACTTCAGCGATGAAGCAATGCGCTTCAGAGAGATCAGTCGGTCCTGAGTCTGAGCCAGTGAAATAGAGCCTGTCTTCATGTACCCTATGACAATGACCAAAGTCAAGTCAGATTTGGACAGGATCTTCAATTCCTTTCCATCTCAGACTCACTGCTTTAATATAATTGCAGACTTGTTGCTCCCACTACTCAGGAGCCTGGAAATCCCACATCCTCAAATAACTTTAAACACTTATGAGCTAGTAATTAAAAAGTGCATGAAAGAACTTTTTTAAATAAAGCAATTTAATTTTTAATTGTGTTCTCTTTCTGCTTCATATACTCCTGTTTATAAAAAAACCCTGAATTTCACACATGGTAGTTATTAAAAGAGAGAGAAGTTAAAAGTTATCTAATAACGACTCAGAAGAATAAAACTTCAACAGCTAAAAGCAGGTATCCTATCACTCCAACACCTGCACTAAATTAGTACTCATCTTAATTGCAGGCATAGTTATGAACCTCTATTGAGGTATTCATTTGTCTGACATACATGACAAGTTCTTGTCAAAAGAAAACTTTCAGTGACCAAGTTCTTCCTATCAGGTACATGCCCAGACATGTTGGAGGGAAAGGGAGAATTTCAACATAATCTTTTTTGCTATTTCCAGGGCTAGACTGCAGTAAGAGACACAGCTTTGCCTATGCTTCAGTGCTCCTGTTAACCACATTTTCTTTTTGAGAAGTGAATCAGTGCACAGAACAGGCCTACTTGCTCCAGACACTGCAATATATTTTCCATGTCCTTGTGAAAATTCCCGTGTCTGCCCAAGTCACAGACAGCATGCAAACTGTCACAATTTGCAGGAAGTCTGCCTTCAGTTTGCCCATCTGATATTCTTCTCCCCATTCTGATTACACTAGTGACATCACTTTGCATCTGATTAGGTCCATATGTATTGTTTCTGAACAGGACTTTCAAGCCTTAAGACACTGTAAAACCACAGTCAGCGTGGTTTTATTACTTATTCACACATATTTCAGTGTCAGTAATTCAGTTTCCCAAAGACTACTCCATGATGACACTTTCAGTACCTGTTTGCACTCCTGTCTCCTGTTGCAGCTGCTGGTAGAGCTTGTTTGAATAGTGTGCCATCTTCAGCTCTATGGACACGGGCCTGGCTGTGCTCACAATGCCAGCACAGAAGCGAGTGGTGCCAGCAGCCAACCTGCAGGAGAAGGTGCAGAGAAGGGCCATGGTCATACAGCTGCCAGGTACACACTCCACACCAGGCTGCTCCAGCAGCTCCACTGGCAGCACAAAGTACACAGCAACTTCTCCCCCAAACACAGCACAACAACACTAAGTTGGACGATGCAGGGCTGACACAACCTCTAGAATGATATTTCTTTTGCTCACTTTTGAAAACACATTGCATTCCAAGATAATTTCTCTTTAACAAGTCCTAAAAACTGACCTTTTTCAAAGAAAGCACTTTTTGTAAAAAAAAAAATTAAAATCTTACACTTAGGTTGAGCTGTCTGATTCTTTCCTTCTCCAAAGCTGCATTTCCCTCAAATCAAAATTAACTTGGTTTTGAGTCTTACATCTTTGAAGATGAAGTATGAGCAAGTCCCTCTCACTCTGTAACAACTGCAATAGACAAGAACACGTTTCTTGTCTCTTCTAAAACTGTCCCTAAACCACTGAGCTATCTGGTGAAGAGCTGCTCTAGAGACAGAAACCCACACAACTCCATGCAGCATGGACAGGGGAAGACAAGGCAATCAGATTTAAGCATCTCCTTTGCAGCCCTGCTTCTACAACAATTCCAAGTTACCTTTGCTGCTGCTGAAGCCATCCTGCATTTCTCCATTTGACACAACTGCTTTCAGCCTAGCATGTCCATATTCTCTCAGTAATTTAACCAAAGATTCAGTTGAAAAAATATTTGCTACACCCTTACTCAACAACCATCCAAAGAGCCAAAGCACAGTCTCACCATGTTGTGGTCCTCTTAAGACATTTCTGCTACTGCAATATTCCTCCTTCTCCTTGAGCATGCACAGACTGAGCCTACACAGCATCTTGATTCACTGCAGATCTTTAATGGGCTGCTCAAACCCTGCTCCAAGCTAGCAAAAATTATATTCCCTTGCAAACCCAGCCCAGCACCCCACTTGGCTCAGAAGGACCCCACTCACAAGGTCTCAGGTGAGAATTTGAGAATCTTTGCAGCTAGAAAGAACCTGCTGCTTCCCAGCCACACAAACTCCAGGAACCACAGCTAATTATTCTTGAAGGCAGTATCAGGTGGGAAGCTCTAAAGCAGATGATAAATATATATTCCAGCACTTATTTAGGGCAATAGAAGCTGCAACAATAAACACCTCTTCAAACCCTAAAGTCTTAGTGGTGTTTCATGCCCAGGATCCCCAGACTGCTTAAGGAAAACACCACGAATGGCCCTCAGAAATGGACATCTAAAACAACAGGGGAAATGTTGGGATGCACAGTTTTCAACAGGAACTCTGTGCTCTGCTACAGAGAGCTGACCAAACTAACTGAGAGCACTTCTGCTCAGCCAAACCATAACAGCCTTGGCTATTTTACAGAGAGGCACTAAATCCTCCAACAAATGGATAATCTGAGCATTTAACCAGCTTACAGGGGGGTGTTTTAGTGATGCCTGCTTATAACCTCCTGCAATCTCTGGAGCTTTGCTGGCTGTGTAATGCTTTAGACACACACAGCATCCTGCTCTGAGAGGTCAACAGGGGCTGTAGGAGTAACGTGGATTCTCAGTTCTTTTAAAATGGTCCATCATCTTTGCCAGCTGCATTGTTTTACATGATCACCTGTGATTACAGCAGAGCAGCTAGGTATCTCCCAAAGGAACTGTGGTGCATGGAAAACCCACACCAGAGCAGAGTTCTCCTCATGGGAATGGCAGCACACTCACTGGAGCCCAGTACAGATCACTCCCCACTGTGTCACCCCCACGCTGCTCAGGGCACTGTGGGGAGGCAGAAGACCCTGGAGCACAGGAGTGAAGTTGAGGAAAAAAAAGGTGGTGTTTTAATGCTTGCTTTTTGTTTCTCACTACCTGAATATGTTGTAACTGTCATGAAATAAAGCCATTACTTTAGATTAATTCTCCCTAGGATAAGTCTGTTTTGCCCGTGGCAGTACAATCTCCACAACCTGATCCACAAGTTCGCTTGGCTTAATTTCTCTCTGTCTTGCAGAGGGAAATGGCATGGCTGCGTGGGAGTCTGGCTATGAGCCACGGCCTCCCCACCACCATCACACAAGGGACACTCTTCACCCAGCAGAGCCTGGGAAGGGGCAGTAAGTGCTGTTATTCATGTTCAGTACAACCTTACTTCCCCCAGGGAAAAGGCTATTTCCAGGTCTTCAGCTCAGGTGAAGAGACAGAAATAACACATTACAGCAGATATTGTTCTGCACAGAAGTCTCGCTTCGTTGGGTTTTTAACCAGAAATCCTTACCTGCCCTGCTCAAGTAAGACTATATCCTTAAAGCCCATCTTGGAAAGGTGATAGGCCACAGAGGTGCCCATGATTCCACCACCACAGATGACAACCTGTGCCTGCGCTGGCAGGGACACGGGGTGAGGCTCTGCTGTAGTTGAGGTGCTTCTCTGGGAGCCGGTCATTCTCCTCCATTTCGGGTGAGCTGCCCGCCACTGGATATCGGACAGCAATCGGAGAAACATCCCGGCAGCTCTTTGTCTCTTTTCCTAAAGCACCACCTAGATGTGTTCAGATGTTACCACAGCACCACTCCTTCTAGGAAGGAAAAGATGAGACTCACATTACCACTTATCTTATTACACACAAGGCTGGCAGCGGGAAACATCACGTGGCGTGCTGGGTCTAAGTGGACACGAGAAAGCTGATGAGCAAACAAACAGGAGGGCAGTTGCTCCTGAAACAACAACCTTGCCGTTAAGATTTAAACTTAGCTCATGAAACAGGAACAGAGCATTACACCTTTGGTTTTGACACAGTGCAACTTGACAATGAGCAAAAAACCAGACGAAAGGTGGAAAAGCTCTCACACCAGTGACAAGGAGAGCTGAAACGGCCATTAGATCATGCTCTGGAATGCTTCCGAAAGCCAGAAGTAATTAGGGCACAAATAAGCTTGATTACTAACGCTGCCAGGCCTTTACCTGAAGAAGGACACGAAGTCTGCGGTCAGAGTAACTGGCACAGGGCACTGGAGAGGCCCCTCCGGGAACAGCTTTACCACAAGCTTTACCCCAGGGCCTCGCTGCGGCAGCTCCCGCAGCAGCAGCACCGGAGGTTCCCCCACCCGCAGCCTCCGGTCCGTGTCGGCAGCCTGAGGGCCGGGGGTGTCAGGGCGCGGGGTGTCAGGGAGCCCCGGGCCGGGGGGCCCCGCTTCGGCCTGCTCGCCCCCGCCGGCGCCCCCGAACCCCGCGCTGCGGGGCGGCCGGGAGGGGAGTGAGGGCGCGGAGGCGGCGGCGGGCGCGCCGGGGTCGCGGAGCGGGGCCGGGCCGGGCTCGGCGGGGCCGCGCCGGCTCACCTGGGGCAGAAGGAGGCCGGCCTGACCTTCCGCGCTTTACGGCCGCGGCCGCCGCGCGACAGCCGCCCCTGCGCGTGCGTCACCCGCCCCGACCAGCCCCGGGGGCGTGGCCAAGCGAGGCCACTCCCACCCCGCGCGCGTCCCCTCAGGAATAAACCACCACAAGTACAAACCTGCAGACTCTTTTTATTAAATTCTCCCATTTCATCTGTACAGAAAAAAAAATGCACATTATTATGTTCAGAAGTTCAGTAACATCTCAAAATTACACAGCATGGACATGTAAAAAAAAAAAACAAACAAACCAAAAAAAAAACCAACTGAAACAAGGAGCGGCCAGGATTTATACACAGAAAAGGGAAACAATTTACAAAAAAAAAAAAGTCTCGTTAATGTCACATTTAAAAATAATTATAATAATAAAAAAAGAGACTACGTTCAAACAGCATCTGCTGTACAAGAGGAAAGCGCTGGCTCTGCTCTGTACACGGCGGGGTGCCGGGAGCCCTGCCCATCCCACACTCCCGGCTGGGGATCTCCCTCCCGCGGGCCCAGGCACACCCTTCCCTTTGCTCCTAGTTCAGTATTTCCCATCGGGAGAGCTGGGCGAGCGCTTCTATCTAACTCAGTCAACGCAGGGCTGCGATCGCAGGGTGCACCGATTCACCCTGGCGGGGATCTTTGTGTTTGGTCAGCTACGGAATCAAACCTGGGTGTTGTGCAAGGAGAAAATCCTGCCTCTGGCTAGCGAAGAGCAACGCTGCTACACCTCCCGATCCCGGGCAGCGTTCGGGAGCTCAGTGGTGCAGAACTCCACCAGCACAGGACGATGCGCAGTGCCAGCTGAGCTCGCTCTGGCACACGGGTGGTTTGGGTCCCCCCTAACCGTGACCCATCGGTGGAAGCAGAAGGGCAGATCTGGCTCCCAAACAAGGACACTGCGCAAAGATCAGTACCTGGGAGCTGCCTGGAGGATCTGAACTCCAGAACAAGGAACGTGCTCTTACACAAACCCACACTACAGTTGTTTAAGTCCACAGAGCTGTACTTTAAATAGGGACAGAGGTGCTAGATGAAATATTCTGGTTACATACCACACTCGTGCACTCATACACAGCTCAAAACTACCTTTTTTTTTCCAAACAAAACCAATAAAGTAAAAAACCCTACAATGTTCTTTCACTAAATAATAACATTGTGTTTTAACAGAAATCACCATCCAACTTGAACACAATTCCTCTACAACATTATGGGATTCCAGCGATCCCTCTGGCTTATCACATTTTTTCCCTCTGTACCTACCTGCAGTTAGTTTCTGTACTTGAGACAGTCACAACCATTATTTTCCATACAATGCACTTAACTGTGGATTCTTTCAGAGCAACACTGATTATATCACAGTGTCAGATTCTGGAGGAAATGCTAATATTTTGCTACAGATTTATTCAACCTTCACTAAGGTCTTTCCAGCCCTTTGCAGTGACACAGACACAAGGATACTCAACCCAATCTGGTGGGCAGTACCTCAGGTGCCAGGAATTTTGTTCCCATCCAGATGAGTTACTCCAGCAGCCTAATGACAAAAGTGAGGCAGGAGAATCCCAAGCTGAAACTCTCAAAAGGGCTCGATTAGACTCACTAGGTAAACAATAAGCTTATTACTGTGAATGAGAATGAACTGTAACAGGCTAGCAGGAGTGTAGAGGTGCACATCATGCACAGTTCCTGACACGTGCACACACATGCCATCATTTAGGAAGCCTTGTTAACCCTCACAGCAGCAGCAGGAAGCAAATGGGAGAGCTGCATGCCTTGCCAGATCACAAACATCCAGCTCTTCCATCCATGCCCTGAGCACCAGCATCATCAAGTCTAGAATAAGCTCTCCAAGGGAAGGTTTTATGATGATCTGGAGAAAAAAAAACCAAACCCAACCAGCAACCATCTCCTGAACTGCATTCAGTGGAAGGCAGATTTCTCCAGTAAGAGGTAAGGGTCATAAAGAGGAAAGACTACCACAGGCCCTTCCACACTAACCCACTTGTCCTGGCTGACTTCAGCTACTGCTAAAACTCTGTTAAACAGAGAAGTTAAAAAGGCTTTCTCAAATTCAAGGCAACAGCAGTGTTTCTTACAACCACTGCTCACAGCTTCCTACAAGGGTGCTGAGACAATGGCACAGGTTGCTCAGAGAGGTTGCAGACTCCCCATTCCTGGTGTGTTCAAGACCAGACTGGATGGGACTCTTGACTACTCTGGTCTAGTGTGGAAGGTGTCCTGCCCAAGGCAGAGCTTAGAATGAGATGAGCATTAAGGTCTCTTCCAACTCAAAACTGTTCTATGACTCTATGATTCTTTCTTTCTTTCTTTCTTTCCCTGCAGTGCATAATGATTACCTGCAGGCAAGATGATGTGTTGGCAACAGCACAACCAGGCTATTTTTGGAAGAGTGCTCCTGTGGGTTTCTGTGCTTGCAAAACCTCTAGATTTTTAGGTATGCATGAAAAGGAGGAGAATATTTCAAGACTGTGACTGGTAAATTTTTAGCTGGGAAAAAAGCAGATTTGGTCATCACCAGTGGTAGAAGACCCCTATTTAAAACATGAAAAAATAATATACTCAATGATAAAATGGCCTGGACCTCTTGCCAAACTTTAAAAGGTGTGTCTACTGTGACAAAAGGTTTATTTAGTATCCTACTTTTTCTTCCAAAGACTTTGGGCCACACACCTCTAACACCATCACAGCACACTCACACGAACTGTGAGCCTGACACAGGCAGAGACACCACCAACCACAGACTAATACCACTGTACAGCATGGACTCCTAATGCCATGCTTCAGGCACCCTTACCATAACCTCCTCCAAATTTAAAAGGAAAAAAAAATCCAGAAAGCCTTATATCTGAAAGTAAAGAAAGTCACCTTCAGAGTTGAACAGGGTTTACACTTGGAACTATGGCCACAAACCTACAATTTTCACTGCAATGTCTTTTGGAATTTAGTGGAAGATGCTATTTCTAGACAATAAACCATCTAATTAGGCTTTTCAAGCTAATCAAGTTACAAAATGCCTTTTCAAAAAGTCACAACAGTTTAAAAAAAGCCCTCCAATGGCAATTTAATTATTCCATATAGACATTTTGGAGAAGCAGGACTCACGCCAGCAAGCAAGGCTGCACCGAGATCCCACTTCCCTTGCTGACAGCTCTGTGAGCACACCCATCTTGACAGCAGTCATTTCAACTCACTCAAGTGATACAACACACACTTAAAATTGCCAAACTAATATTTGTGGAGTTACACACCTGTGCTACCTCAAGAAACACAATTAACTGTTTCTCTTCTGCTCCACTTCATGCTGACAGACAGCCAGGCAAGCTCCCTTAGCACCCGGGAGGAGGGGCAAGAGAAGGAATTCAGGCTTAAATTCAGTTTTACCTCACCACTTAACTGCAATCCTACCATACACTAGCTCTCCACTGAAACTTCATCACTCAGGCTTTCACTGCTGCTTGTTTGGGTTCACAGTACTTTACTACAAAACCAGAAGTGTTTGAGACTCACTAGCATAGCAAGTCTGAACCCATACAAGCTTGCCACCATCCTCAGAGCTGGATGAAGGTATGGTTGAAAAAAGCTTCAGCAAAAAGTCATAGCAAAAGCTCACAGTATTTTGTATATGCCATTCTGTGTATACAGCATCACCAAAATCAGCTGGTCCACATTCCAGAGTGTCTCAAAACCATCTCCACTGTTCTTCTAGAAAACAATGGCTAAACAATGTAAGAACTGGAAATGCCAGGTCTTACACAGCAGTGTGCTAAGTGGGAAAATAAAGTTATGGTTCAAGCATCAGCCTAAGTTGGACAGTTTCAGGCACATGGTTTTTACTGCAACACCCACAGGTAAGCATGTCCTAAAGGTGAATAAAACATATCCTCCTGTACACATTGACTCTCATGCAGGCTCTTCTAGATTTCATCAACACACCCCATGTTTCAGTCAAAGCACCTGTCTCATGAGCTCCACACCTCCTTGTACTTGAAGAACAGACATGATGGTAAGAAGAGGCCACAACTGCTGGTGCAGCTTTTCCAAAACACCTTCTCTGGGCTCCAGAAGTGTAACTATACATAGCACAAATGCACATATTGATGGTAACTATGCAAAAGCTACTTTCCTTAAAGATCCAGATGTTTCTGCCTTTCAAACCACACTATCATTCTTCCATCCACTCCTGCTTGGCAGGACGAGCACCTGTGTCCTACACCCCAGGAAAATGTCAGGTGTTATCACCATCAATTGTAGTTGTGGAGATGAAAACCATTAAGACCCAGAGTGTGGTTACAAACCACTGTGCCAATCCATGAGTAACCATTACACAGAGAGAGAGGATGTTGGGTGTTCTGGTGCTTTCTGCATCACTGACAGAGCACTGAACTGCCAGTGTGTCAGTACCATCTGCACACAGTTAATTTGGGAGGGTAACAGCTTAGCAGTAGCAAGGTAAAAAAAAAGGAGTGTTAGAATTTTACTGCATCATTGCTAATAAAGTTGACTGAGTAACTGCTCACAGCACTTCCTGCCCACTGACACTGTTCACTACTGACAGGCTCTACATACCTCGTGTCTACATCGTGTCTTTAATCTACTGAAACACAAGTTGTATAGCTCACATGAGTATTCAATCCTGGTCAGCATTTTATTCTATCTTGCGAGCAGCAGAAGAAGAACATCTTTTCAGCCAAAAAAATCCACAGTCACATAAGCAGGATATTCACTAGGAGATGACACCAGTGATTGGTGTCCTTAGGTTGTCCAAGACTATGCTCTGAAGATGCTTTACACAGACGAGCAAGATGTCCAAAACAAGGCCAGCTGTGGTGTAAGATGCAATTTACCCTTTAATTTCCTGCCTCAACTTCACCCAGCCACAGAGGATGACTAGATTTCAGTATGAACCATTACCTAAATCATATAGTCGGTATGCAGAATATGTCTGTCTTTAAAAATTTACTTAAAAACTGCTGAGCTGCAGGTCAT